GGGAGGAAGTGGGAGGGGAGCTGTTGCATCGTGGTTAATTGTGGTCAATGTCGTGAGATAAAGTGTATGTGAATTGCTGTATAGAAAGTGAATTTGCTCTGTAAATTATCACCCAAATCACAATTTAAAAAAAAAAACTGTTGTTTAGAAAATTTGGTGGACTATTAAATTTAATGTAACTTTTAAATTAGGTATTTAGAGTTGAGGAGGTTAAAACTCTTACTAAGGACTTATTTATGCCTTCTTTTGTTTGGAACAGGATGTTGTATGATTATGTTGAAAGGAAGCGAAAAGAAAATTCAGGAGCCCAACTACACGTTACCTATTTGGTGTCCGGCAGTCTCATTCAGAATGGATATTCTGTAAGTTCGTAGAATCTTAAAATGAGCTTAAATGTGTTTGAGCTATAAACTGTTATATGACATTATCACATAAAGAAAAAGAAAAGATTCAGAATTCTGGAAGTTTAAAAAAGTCACTCCAAGGTGATGATTATTTTGAGTTTTACACTAAATCTGAAACTCCTCGAAGTTTGGGTAGTATCTCTGCTGTAATGTGGAGACTGTATCCTTATTATGTAATTTTTGTAGGCAACAAGACATTAAGAGACTAACTCTGTTATTTCCTATCCTTCTTTATTCCTCTTGAAGGTGTATTAGAGACAAGATAATTCATTGCCAGCCTTTTCAAATTCAAGCCACAAACTCAGGTGTTCAAAAAATTTTATTTTATTTTTTTAACTGAACTTGATTTTAATTTTGAGCATGCATTGTGGTAGGCTTATGTCAGAGTGGCTGAAGGGTAGAGGAAGTTTTCAGGATAATGGGCTAATGTGCAGAGACATGGGCTGGGAATATTTTTATCCTCAATCATCTTCTGTGTTAAATTCTGTTTGGTATCTGGTCATCCGTTATCCTGGGACACTGCTGTGATTTTGTCATCCTAACCACAAAGCTTTTCAGGCTTGCTGACTCTCCTTAGCTACTTTCATGGTACTCGCAGGGGTACAGGGTTCATTCTACATCTCCCATGCTTTCTATACCAGTCTGAGTCCTGGAAATTGATCATTGCTCCTCTCTGGCTTCCTCCCAAAAGTAAGGTATACCTCCTCAGTTCTCATTTTCCCAAACCTCCTATTTGAAGGTTCTTTTGCTCCCAAATGAATTTTCACCAGTCCTATAGGAATTGGCCCAAGTATCAGGGCCTCTTTTCAGAAATCCACTAGTATGTAAGTTTTTTCTTCCCTTTTGACATTCCCTCAGACTCATAGACTCAGAATCTTGATTTACCAAAAATGCTGACTTAATCTGTGTTTTTGTAATAGAGTCCAGGGCACTTAAGATTTAAAACCAGAATGTCAGTTTGGTAATTTTAAATTGCTACTTTCAATTTGTATTTTTCCTTAAACCTTTACCTGCCCTCCAAGAAAGTCCTTTGCAGAAGTCATCAGGAGGCAGTCCAAATCATGCTTTGCAATTCCTAATAAAAGTTGAGTGTATGTGGTATGCATGCATATGTATTTTTTTATTTTTTAAGTATTTTTATTGAGGCAGAATTTCCACATAGTAAAAGGCACACATCTTAAGTTTATACCTGATGAAATTTTGTATATGTATACACATTCATGTAACCACCATCCAAATCAAGATATAGAACATTTTCATTTCTCCAGAAAGTGCCCTGTTCTGTCCCAGCAAAGATTTCCCACCCACCAAGGTAATCATCATGCTGAACTTCATATACAGTTATACAGTATATACTCTTATATTTGCCTTCTTTAGTTCAACATAATGTTTTTGAGAGTCATTTTGAATTCTTTAAAGAGAAAATAATTTATTTAATTCTGGTGAAAATTTCTTAAGTTTTGTTACATTTCTTCTTTTTTTAACTTTTGTTATTTATATGTTCAAATATCTATAAAGATAGAGAGCACAGTATGATGTACCCCGTGCATCAATCACTGGCTTTTCCACTCATCAACAAGTGACCAGTCTGGTTTCATCTATACCACCTTCACTTTCCCCCTCCCAACCACAGGTTTATTTTGAAGCAGACCCCAACATAATAGCATTTTGTCAATGAATTCTCAGGTCAGTAACTCTAAAAGTTAGGGACTCTTTTAAAAACAGAATCAAAATGCTATTATCCACTTGAAAAGGATAACAATAATTAATTAAAATTTTTAGATCTAGTCAGTTTTCAGACTTAGATTATTTGGTAACCTTTTTTTTATTGTTGATTTATTCAAATCCAGATCTAAACTGGGCTACACATTGCATTTGCTCTGTCTCTTGAGTCTGTTGATATATCAGTTCTTCTGATCATAGTCCTTTTTTTTTTTTTTTTTTCCTTTCTCCTTGCAATCTATTTATTGAGGAAGCCAGGTCATTTGTCCTATAGAATTTCCAATATCCTAGATATTGCTAATTGCATCCTCGTGGTGTTCTTTAACACGTTCCTCTGTTTTCTTTTCTTGTAAACTAGTTGTTAAAGCTAGAGCTTGATCAGATCAGGTTTGGTTGGGGTGAGGAGAATGAATGCTTTGTGCATCCTGCAGCTTCCCATCTGGAGGTACCTGTTGGGTTGGTTCTCTTTTTATATTAGGGGTTATCATCCTGGCCCATCCATTTTGAACTTCCCCTCAGCTTTTCTTCTAATGCTTTTAGCTGACATTGACTTTCATTGTCTAGGTCGTTATTTCAAGGAGCCCTAGTCAAGTACTCAACTGTGAACTAAAAGGTCAGAAGTTTGTATCCACCAGCTGCCCTGGAAAGATTTAAACCTTGTGGGGCAGTTCTGCTCTGTCCTAAAGGGTCACTGTGAGTCAGAATTGACTCAATGGCAGTAGATTTTGGGTAGATCATTATATCATTAGGGATTATAAAATGGTAATGTTCTATTTCTGTCATTCCATCTACATTTATTAGCTGGAATTTTTTGTCTAAGAGGAACTTTATCTTATCAACTAGCCATATTTTCCCTTTCACCTAACCACTAAAAAGCTCAGGGTGTTTACAAGGCTCTGGATTTGTGGATGCAGAACTTAACTGCTGTGCCCACCTTAATAGGAACCCACTGAATCAGAGCTCCACTTCCTGCATTGTTTTAGCACCAGCAAGCCAGTGTTTCCACTCTGTTGTTTTTATGAATTTTCAGTATCCCCTGAGGTAGCACCTCCAGGCACACTGTCTGGGCTATCCAGGTTTTTTCCTGCGGTACCAATTATTTTGTTGTTGAGGCTCTTATTACAAAGTTGCCTAGGTTTTCAGTGATTAGTCCGTAACACTCTTTTCTCCATAAACTCTGTAATTATGCAGTTTTGCAGAATGTGACATTTTTTGGAATGCCTTTTTTTTTTTTTTTAAGTGAAAACATACCAATATCTGCAATTCAAATTTATGATTACAGGCATTTTACTTAACTTACTTGACTTTATAGTGAGCTCTCTTATGTTGTGAATCTTGGTGGTTCCTGATGACATTAATGTAAATATTTATTTGCTTTAGCAAAGCAATATCAATATTATTGCTAACAATATTACTGAAAACAGTTTAAGATTTCTTTGCAGGTCTTTTTTTTAATCTGTAGAATCTGCCCTCCTAAAGATGTGCAGTCAAATTACTATGGTTTAGAGTTACTCAAAGTAATTCCCCTCTATTGTTAAGTCAAGGAGTTCTGGTGGTACATTGGTTAAGGCATTCAGTTGCTAACCATAGGGTCCGGGGTTCAAACCCACCAGCCGCTCTGCAGGAGAAAGACGAAGTTGTCTCCTTCCATAAAGAGTTACAGCCTTGGAAACCCTATGGAGCAGTTTTACTCTGTCCTATAGGGTTGTTGTGAGTCTGAATCGACTCAATGGCAGTGAAAGGTTTTTCTTTTCTTTTTTTTTTTCTTTTTCTTTTATGGTTAAGTTGTGGGGCCTTGGTGGCACAGTGATTAAAACGCTTGGCTGCTAACCGAAAGATTAGTGGTTTCAGCCTACCCAGCAGCTCTGTGGAAGAAAGGCCTGGCAATCTGCTCCTGGAAAGATTCCAACTTAGAAAATGGGGCATTTCTGCCCTGTCACATGAGGCCATTGTGAGTTGAGAATCAGTTCAGTGGCACCTAACAACAACATGGTTAAGTCAACTGAATATTTAGTTAAATTCAGTTTTTTTTACTTTGCTTTTAGATTTTAGGTTCTCTCTTATCCCTTACAGGTAAACATTTTTGTTGGTTTTGCCTTCTTTTTTCATTGTTTTTGTTGTGTGCGTGTGTGTGTGTGTGTGTGTTTATTTATTTTAGTAATTTTTAAAATATTTTTGGTGCAGATATATACAGCAAAACGCATTCCCATTCAACAGTTTCTGGAAACAGTGATCAGTGGCATTGGTTACATTCTTTGCATTGTGTCAGCATTCTCATTATTTCTGTTATGGTTTCACTCTCATTGACTTAAACTCGCTGTCCCCCAACCTTCTTGCCTATGTGTTGTATATGTTTTTAATATTAGCAAATATATATGCATAGTATGCCCCTTTCTTAGGTTAAAATTTAATATTATAAGCCCTATTTTGCACTTTTCTATTATTTTTAGTATTTAACTTAAAGTAGATCCTGAGGATCACTCCATAGCAATTGTAGAAATATTCCTTATTCCTTATTATAGCCACATAGTGCCACATTGATGGATATATCTTAGTTTATTCACCAGCCTCTTACTGATAAACATTTGAATTACTTAAAATCTTTGTTTATCACAAATAGTGCTGCAATAAATTGCTCTATGTATGAGGGGTTTTTTTTTTTATGTTTTTGCCAGTGTGTTTTAGGGTTATGTTCCTAGGAGTAGGGTTGCTGGATCAAAAGGTATATGTGATTTTGTTGAGTATTGCAAATACCTCTCTACTTTTCATTCCTACTAACAGTATATGAGAGTGCCTATTTCCACACAGCACATGTTGTCAACTTTTTTTGTCTGTCTCATAGATAAGAAATGATAACTGAGTCTGTGCATCTTATTTTGAGTGGGATTGATACCTTTTCATGTTTCAAGGCTTTTGCATTTCTTTCTCTGGACCACCTGATCATATCTCTTACTCATTTTCCAAAAAGGTTATTAGTCTTTATTTTCTCTGTTTTCAGAAACTGTATATTAACCCTCTGTGATTGAGGTTGCAGATATTTTTCCCACTTTGTCATTTGTCTTTGTGCTTTGTTAGTTTGTATTTGAGTCATCTAAAAGTTGTTTATTTTTTAAAACTGTGATTTTGGTGAAGGTTTACAGAACAAATCAGTTTGCATGCAACAATTCATACACATTTTGTTTGTTAGTTTTTATAAGGTCAAATTTGTCATTGTTTTCCATTATTATCTCTGGAGTTTGAATTACAGTTTGAAGTTTTCTTTACTCTCATGTTACATCAGATTATAGAGGAATTCATCCATGTTTTCTTCTAGTATCTGTGTAGTTTTTTTCTTCTACATTTAAATCTCTGCTCCATGTAGAATTTACTCTGGTCTGGTGTGAAGGATTGATTCAATTTTATCTTGTTCCATATGACTATACAATAACTCTCATTATAACACTTATTAAAATGTACTCTTTTCCCCACACTGGTTTGAGATGCTGTATGCTTTTTCATTGTAGTATTAATACCTACATTCTATAACCCTCCTTTACTTGATTGAGAAATTTTAAAGTAGGCAAGTTAAAAATGAATCTGACTTTATTAAACTGTAGCATATATTACATGTATTTTAAGGGATACCTGGTGTTTTCCTAATTTAATCTCCAAGTACAATTGAATTATTAGCAAGGAAAACTTTAAAATTGTGTGTTCTGCTTTAAGCATTGATGAAATAAAACTGTTATTTCCTTACAGTGCCACAAGGTTGCAGTAGTGAGAGAAGATAAGTTGGAAGGTAAAGAATTTTATTGATTTAGCAAGTTTTTCCTCTTATGCCACCAATGTAAATAAAAAATCTGGTCCTAACATCTGCATTTAATATCTTTAACTATTAAACTGAAGAGCCCTATCTTCCTTTTATTAGTAGTTTCTGATAAAATATGATATATGCTTCATTTCTCATTCTGTTAAGGGCTAATAGCAACTGACTTTTATAAAGCACTTTAATCACAGGATTTAGAAACTTTTGACAGACATTCAAAATACTATCACGAAAGCCATTTGGAATACTTCATCAGCCCTAAAAAGATAGCAGCCTCTAGATAGTTTGCTGTGGTCCCTAACACCTTTTTTTAGGAAAAAATAATACTTTTCTAGAAATCAGAAGGACTTAATTTAATTTCTAAATTAAAAATTTCCACCCATTTCAAGACTATTAATACTACTGTTCTATTATTTCAAAGCCCAATTCAAAGGAATATTTATAACAGCTGAGGTATTGGTGATCTTGGACCTATGTTTTAAGACAAAACCTGGACTATTAGACTTTGTATATAAAGGACCTTGCCAGTGGGGGTCATTTCTTACCAAATTTAACTTTGAGGGATTCAGTGTGGTGATGTTCACTTTTTCTGAATTCCCACAGTGGTAGGCAAAGCAAGGTTTATTTATTCAGCAGAAACATAGTGAACATCTACTGTGTGCCAAGCTCTATGTGAGGCACTGGAGGTGCTCAGCACATTAGGCATAGTCCCTCCCCTCACAGAACCTCAAATTTGTCCCTTGTGATACTCTTTTATGTGTTTCCTCTGCAGATTTATCTATTTGATAGTGTTTTTGTTAAAGAGTTGCTTTCGCTAAACTAAACAAGTGAGTCTTCTCAGATAGAGATTACTTATTCCTCTTTAGTATATGCTAGAGTGTGAGGTTCTTCCCTGACTGAGAAAAAGGACATCGTGGTCATCATCAGTCATTAATTAATATTTACTGAGTGTCCACTGGATGAGTGATACCATAATAGTTGTTGTACTTATAACTGAATCACTACCACCTACCTTGTCCTAATGTTTCTGTTGCAGACAGATGAGTTGATGTTATACTATATATGTGGCTCTTTGGCTGTTTAGAGCTTTTTGAACCACCACAAGCTGCAAATGGTTTTAATGCAGAAGGGTTTCTTGTTAAAGTCCCTACATGCTGTGAAGTTTGTGTATTAACAGACCGCTTTTCCTGTTGACTTGTAGCAGTGAAGTCCAAGCTAGCTGTGACTGCCAGCATCCATGTGTACAGCATCCAGAAAGCCATGCTAAAGGACAGTGGGCCTCTGTTCAATACCGACTATGACATCCTTAAAAGCAACTTGCAGAACTGCAGCAAGTGAGCTCATTAAATGTTCCTTGTGGGCTTCTTTACTAATTGATTTTGTAAGATGTTTACACAGTGGCTGCCTCTTAAGAGTGAATGCCAAGTCTAGTAAAACCCCATTTATCTTATAGTAAGACACATGCCTGGCTTTATTAGTACATCATAAGGTGAAAAATAGCAGCCACAACCCATATTGAAAACCCCAGTGGACTCCCTATAAATTTATTTCTCGTATTTTTATACTGTCACTGCCACCAGAAATGTGTGTGATGCCCCTCATTACTCTCTTTCCCCTCTCTGCTTGTCTGAATCCTACCCATTCTTCAACAACTATTCCTAATTTGATATTCCTCTAACTTCTATCCAAAAGTAACTTTTTCTTGAACTTCGATAGCCAGGATTAGATCTTGTTCACCTTTTTATCTTTCACAGCACAAGGAGGTACTGGACTGCACATGTATTTTAGAATTACATTGTCATCAGCTTGAGTTTTGACTTTTCTGCTTAATAGCTCAGTAACTTTAGACACATTATACTCTTTGAGCTTCAGTTTCTTCATCTTTAAATTAGATATAGGATGCCTACTTCTTGGGGTTGTATTGAGGGTTTAAGTCAGTTCTACAAGCATATATTGCGCACTTACTACTTGATAGGGAGCTCTTGTGGTGTGGTAGTTAAAGCATTTTGGCTGCTCACCCTATAGCAGATGACAGTTCGAGTCTACCAACTGCTCCTTGGGAGAAATATAAAGTCTGCTGCATCGTTAAAGGTTTACAGCCTTGGAAACCCTATGGGGCAGTTCTACCTGGGCCTACAGGATTGCTGTGAGAATCAACTGGATGGCAGTGAGTTTGATTTGGTTTGGGGACTGCTTGATGAAATATTAAGCAAGAGACCTTGAATTCATTCACCAAATATCTGATGAGAACCTATGACATGCCTCACACTAGAGTGATTATGGCACAGTACCTGGTTATGGAATTTGTGGTCTGATGGGAGATAGGCAGTTATAATACAATGTGACAGTACTATAATAGGAGTATGGGAAGGTGTTGGAAGGCCATTTAACCAGTTTTGTGGGTGTGAGGAGGCAGAACAGAGAAGGCTTCTTAGAGGGTATGACATCTAAATTGAGGCCTAAAGACCCAGTGGAAGTATCCAGACAAAGCAGAAACGGGAGAGTAAGGACAGAGCTAAGAAAGAAAATATGGTGCTTGTGAGAAACTGCAGAACTTTCCTATGGCTAAGCTTAGAAGGAAAGGTAGCAAATAATTAGATATAAGACTGAAAAGGCAAGCAGGAGTCAGATCATTCTATGCTTTGATTACTAGGGTAAGTAGTCTAGACTTTATTCTGAGGGCAGTGAGGAGCCACTGAAGATTTTTAAGCAGATGGAATGAAATGATCAGAATTGCATTTCAGAAAGATCACTTGTTCCAGTGTTGAAGATGAATCCATTTCCTGATCATACATTTGATCTTTTTAGAAGTAGAGCAGGCTTTGGGAGATAGGGAAAATTCATGAATTGGGTTTTGGATTTAATGAGTGTGAGAAGCCTCTGGGAATCCAAGTGGAACTGTCCATTGAGTTAAATAAATGAGTCTAGAGCTTAAGGAGAGACACTTACAGTGAAGATATTTTCGAATCAGAGCAAATAGGTAAGTAGTTACGGCCACATCGATAGATATAGTCATGCAAGGAGAATGTATAGAATGAAAGAAGGGCAGAAAGTAAAACTTTAGGCTACAGTTACTAGCTGTGCACCCTTTGGATAAATTATTTAACCTCTGCCCTTCAGTTTCCTCATCAGTATAATGGGGCTGACAATTGTACCAACCCCATAGGGTTATAGAGGATTGAATGAATTAATGTATGTAAAACGTCAGAATAGTGCTTGGTATGCAGTGAATGCTGTTTAAATGATAGCTATTTTTCAGGAACAGGCAGAAAAAGAGGGGCCCAAGAGGGAGCAGCCTGAGATCAAAGGAAAATCATGAGCGTTTATGATGTTTCAGTAGCTAAGAGAAGAGTTTAGAGAAGAAGGGGTGACCCAATAATGTCAGATGATGCTGAAAAACCAAGTAAGATAGGGATTGAAAAGTGTCCATTGGATTTACTGATGGCCTTGGTAAGAGCATTTTCAGTGGAGTGACCAGATTTTGGTCTACTGAGTGGCTAGGACATGAAGAGAGAGCGCAGATAAGGAAACTTTCTAGGAAGTTTGACTATAAAATTAAGGAAAAGTAGATGGTAGCTAAAGAAGTACTTGGGGTTGAGGAAGGATATATACCTTTTTAAAGTTGAAAGTGAGTTGAACTTGTGTTGTTAGCAAAGAGCCAAAGGAGAGGAAAATGTTGAAGATATGGGAGGAGATGGAATCTCTGCTAGAGCTAGGTCCTTTAGGAGAACTAGATATAGAATTACATGTTTCTGTAAGTTCCATGAGAATAGGGATTGTGTCTCTTGATTACCACTGTATAACCAAAATGGTGCCTGGTGCAGGAGCACATTCAGTAAGTGAATGAATGAATTAATGATAGGTGTTAGTTTTTTTTTCCCCCTTTAGCTCAAAACCTTGAGTGTAATAGGCATACAAGTATTTATTAAATAAGTAAATGTAATCATATAGCTTAAGAGTAGTAAAATTAACACCCTGAAAATTTTATGTAAAATACATTATTTCAAATATAATCTGTTTTAAAACCTAGTTGTGGCATGTCAAACTCTAAAAATCTGTTCCTGTGTTGTATCTAGCAAGTAAGCAAACAAGACTCAAAGTGACTCAAAAAGTTCAAAATGAAATTTGCACAAGGACCACTAAAATAAACATAGCAAGCAGAAATGTGGTAATAGGAAGCACTTTAATGAAGCTTTACTTAAATACTTAACGTGTCCCTGGTAGAAATGTGAAGAATTTATCTCCAAGAAGTCAGTATGTGCTCCTGATAATTATGGGCCAACTGAGAGCTGACTCATTGTTTCGTGTGTTTTAAGAAGTGCTGTGACAGGAAGAAATGAAATTTTAGCATTGAGCAGAGATTATTCTTTCTTCGGACATGTTCCCAGCCTAACTTGGTTTCTTCTTCATTGCCAATTCCTGGTCCTGACCCTACAGTGTGGAATGCAGACCAAATGGAGAAAGTCTTTGTCTCAGGGCCAACTTTAAATGTTGACAATGAAATAAAACATTGCTATTTTCTTTGTACATAGAAGCACTGTGAGGCCAGAGAGAAAGAGTGGTAGGTGAAAGTAAATGGCTTCCGTCTGTTCCTAACTCTGATGCACAAAGTATTTGTGTTAACATAGGTCTTTATGATGTGGGGCATAAGTCAGTGGAAGCTTTTTAGAGCTGTAGACTCTAGCTGCCCAGTCTTCACATTGAAAGAGTTATCAAGGATTTTTGTTTTCTTAGGCCTGGTATTCTAGCAGTTAATCTTGAAATTGTGTCTGGTTGATCTCTAAGATAATTGCTGTCACCACGTAGTTTAACTTCCCCTATGTTCCATTCCAAGTTGAGTTGATGAAGGGAAAGAAGCCTCACTTGTAGTGACCTAAATAGTCCATCTTCAACATGCATTTCTTGACACTTACAATGTACCTGGTCTTGTGCTGACTGCCTGAAATACAAAAGACAAATAAGACACTTCCTTACCTTCAAAGAGCTCTCATTTACCCCAAGGAGCAAAAGATTGTGGCAAATAAAGTGTTCTTTATTAGGGAAATTTGGGGAGCTTTGCTTTGGGTACAACCTATTGAAAAGGCTGAACCAGTTATCCATTCCCAGTGTGGGATGTTACATCATAGAGTTGTATGAAACAGGGACATCTGCAGTGATTAGGGAAGATGAAGAGATGAGTATTTCCTCTAATGTGCTATACAAACTGTTACATCACATTTCTTCACTGCTTTGGTATTATTAGGAAGTATTAACAAATGGCTATAAAGGACCACAGGTTATAGGAGCCAGTGGCCCTGTTCCCAGCCTCTCCATGTTCTAAAGCATGACTCGTTCTGACCCAGGAGAGTTGTTAGGAAATTTGTTAATACTTAAAGCTCTTGACCTTGATTCAGTATTTATCGTGTATGTATCCCTCACAGGTCGAAGTTTTGTTTTAAGAAAACACGGATGACTATTTGATTTCCCAAACATGATAAAATTAATCTTTTTTTTTTTTTTTTTCTGGTGTGTTCTTACTCTGTTATGAACTAGCATGCTTTTTTTCAAAAAAAGCAAGTATATTCATTATGATGTGACAGAAGATGGCTAGTTTCAATTCTAGCTCTATTCCTAACTAGCTGTGTAAAAACCAGTTGCCTTTTAGTTGGTTCTGGCTCATGTTGACCCCCATGTATGTCAAGAGTGGAGCTTTGTGCTCCATAGAGTTTTCAGTGGCAGATTTTTTAGAAGTAGATCTGTAGCCCTTTCTTATGAGGCTCCTCTGGGTAGATTCGAACTGCCAGTTTCTTGGTTAGCAGCTGGATGTGTTAACTGTTGGTACCACTCAGGGACTCCAGCTAGCTGTATAACCTAGTATAAATTACTCTCTGCAAAATACCTATTTCTTTCTCTAAATGAGAGGTGGGTTTGTCTTTTTTTTTTTTTTTTTTTGTGATTTGGGTGAAAGTTGACAAAGAAAATTGGTTTTCCATTCAATAATTCATACATGTTTTGTTTTGTGCTATTCATTGCAATCCCCACAGTGTAACAGCACTCTTCCCACTTCCTCCCTGTGTTTCCTGTTTCCCTGCATCCTTCTTTCCTATCCTTTCCTGCCTTCTTAGCTTTATCCATGGGGAAATGCTACCCTTTTGATCTTGTATGGTTGATTATGTTAATCAGTGCGTACGTTCCCGGTATTATTGCTCACCTCAGAGGCCTGTCTATCTTTTGGCTGAAAGTTGAGCCACAGAGGTTGAGTTCACTTCCCAGCTTGAAGGGTGTCTAAGGACCATACCGTCAGAGGTCCCTGGTCTTTTTACTTATTTATTTTTTACTTTTATTGTGAAAACATACACAACAAGACATTCACCACATAACAACTTCCACATTTAAAGCTCAGGGACATTGATGACATTTTTCGTGTTGTACTACCGTTACTGATACCCTTTTCCAAAATACTCTGCAAAGCCTGGTCTTTTTTATGATTTTGAGTTTTCTTCCACATTTTTCTCCCACTCTATTTGGGACCTCCTATTATGATCCCTTTCAGAGTGGTTAGCAGTGGTAGCCAGGCACCACCTACTTATTTTGGTTTCAGGGTCACAGAGGCTGGGGTTCATGTCGTCCATTAGTCCTTAGGACTCATTATTTCCTGTGTCTTTGATTTTCTTCACTCTTCTTTGCTCTGGATGGGGAGAGCCCAATAGTTGCACCTTAGATGGCTGCTCATAAGCTTTTAAGATCCCATTTACTACCAGAGTAGGATGTATAAGATTATTTTTGTGGACTATGTTATGACGGTTGACTTCTGTGTTCCCTGAGACTAAAGGTTCTGAGTCCCAGACCCAGCAACCTCAATACCCTCAAGGTATTTGGTTATGACAAAGAAGTTCTCATAACTTTGTCCTGTATGCTCTACTATATCCATGGATATATTTGCAGCACGTATAAATGCTTAGGTAGAGATGTCCTCTGTGAAACCCACATATATTCATGGGTATAGTCCCATTCAACTTCCCACTCCTGTTTATCTTGAATATCTGTATATCCACTTGTAGATTATTAGTAGTATTATTGCTGGATTGTGTACGTGATAATACTGACCTTTGTTGCCTTTACCTCTTGTGCTCCTCCCTGTGTCATCCATTACCTTGATCACATTGTGCTGAACTCTCCTTATATATATTGCCATCACTAACTAGAGGGTACAAAAAAAACCAAACCAAACTCACTGCCATCGAGTCTATCTGACTCATAGCGACCCCTCCTTGGGTTTCTGAGGCAGTATCACTACAGAGGTAGATTGCCCAGTCTTCCTTCCGAGAAGTGGCTAGGGTTTGAACCGCCAGCCTTCTGGTTAGCAGTCAAATGCCTTAGGCACTGCGCCACCAGAGCTCTGGTGGTGTCCTAACTAGAGGTTAGACACGTATTAAATGAGAGGTTGTTTTTTTTAAAAAAACAAAATGCTTTCTTAAATCCATTCTAATACTAAACTTCTCTAATTTTATAGTATTAGGGTTGGGAAGTATTTTGGGGAAGAAGTAAAGGTTTGAAAATAAGGTTTTAGTTTGACATTAATGTAACATTTCTGTTGCCAGGTTTAGTGCCATACAGTGTGCAGCTGCAGTCTTTAGGGAGCCCACTGAATTCTCATCTTCTGAAAAGCTTGAGCAGTCAAATCTTCAGGTATCAAGTGAGACAGAAGCCAGTAATGGGTTGACCACCAATGGTCATGGCCCACCTGCCTCCAAACAGGTCTCCCAGCAGCCCAGAGGAATTATGGGAATGTTGGCTGCCAAAGCTGCTTCTAAAACTCAAGATACTAACAAGGAAAGCAAAACAGAGGCTAAAGAGGTAAGAAATACAAGTTTTTTAAAGATAGGGTTTTATAGCTCACAATGGGTAACTAGAAAAGCATTCATATTTCCAGTGGTAGTGTTTTAATTATATTGGATTCTTATATTTAGTTCTCAATATTTCAACTTTAGTTTAAATCCTTTGAGACTTATTATCCTCATCGTAATAGTCCTTTTTTCTCACCAAGTCTCAGATTCTCCTTCTATAAAATAGTAACACCTGCCCTGTCCATGTCATGAAATTGTTATGAGTTCCAGTTGAAATGATGCCTGTGAGAACACCTTGAAAAATGTAAAGCACAAAGAATTGTATAGAAGCATTATGCCACTGTGGGAACATCTTAGTACTCTAGACTTGGCCATTTTTGCCTAGCTTTCTAATGTATCTAACATTCTTACTGTTTAATGCATTTTTTCTTCTTCAGTCTTTCTTTTTTTAACTTTTTTTTAGTTCAGTCATCTGAACTAAATAAAGCACATTGACTTAAGAAAAGTATCATTAAGGTAACTATTAAAAACAACCCAGTAAAGTATAATTATTATACTTTTATTACCATCCCTGTCATTACAAAGCTTCTACTTTGGGAAAGGAGAGGAAAGGTGTAGATAAAAGGTAACATTTATTGAATTTTTCCTGTGTGCCAATAGTTTTGATCTTTGTTTAAATTTTTCTTCCCTGTTTTGTGAAAGAAAAAAAAAAAAACACCAAACTCAGTGCTATTGAGTTGCTTCAACTCATAGCAACCCCTCCTTGGGTTTCCGAGGCAATATCACTACAGAGGTAGATTGCCCATTCTTCCTTCCGAGGAGTGGCTGGTGGGCTTGAACCGCTAGCTTTCTGGTTAGCAGTCAAATGCCTTAGGCACTACGCCACCAGAAATATTATTATCCCCATTTTATGTATGAGGAAACCGAAACCTAGGCTTAAATAATTTGCTTGGAGATTATATGGCTTTCAAGTGATAGAACCAGGATTCAAATCCCCTTCTGATGATTACAAATGTTATGTTTCGGGATTATTTTTTTCTTCCTGTTATATACCATGGTCCCTCTGATCTGTTTTAATTCTGTCAAAATTGTTTTTAAATATGCTCAATGTAAGATTTGAAACATTTGTGGATTATAATTTTATAAAATCTCTGTGAAACTAAACTTTAGAGATTAACATCAGATGATGTCTGGTCTGGGTTATTGATTTAGATTTGTTCTTATATCTAAGACCTGCACATTTTGGTATGATTACATAGGCGCTCTGGTAGCGTAGTGCCTAAGGCATTTGACTGTTAACCAGAAGGCTGCCAGTTCAAACCCACCAGCCACTCCTTGGAAGGAAAGTTGGGCAATCTACTTCTGTAGTAATACCGCCTCGGAAACCCAAGTAGGGGTCACTATGAGTCGGGTCTGACTCGACGGCACATAACAACAACATAGAAGCTATACCATCTTAACAGTGTGTGCTATGATATTGAAGAGATTGTGTGAGACTGTGTCACTTCAAGAGCAGCCTAAATGCTAGGAAAAAATCACGTGTTTTTTTCTTTTCTTTTAGGCATCTTCAGCAGGCAGCAAGGCACCAGGGAAAGGGAATGTGATGAGCAATTTTTTTGGAAAAGCTGCTATGAGTATGTTTTTACCTTCCTTTGATGAAATGAATAAGTGAATGTTAGTGTAATAACACATCATCCTTGAAGCGAAAGCCACCTTGTCTAGTTGCTGCTCACCTAGGTAGACTAACATGTATTATTCTTGCATCCTAATATAAATTTCCAGCATAATGACCAGTATTATTGATGAACATAACCCAACTGGAACAGCGACTTTACTGGGTGAGCTGGGTTCAGTTCAGTTCTCTCAGAAGGTAGTTTACCCTTCCTACTTTACCTTCCTGCCCAGGAGAGAAAGTTTAGATGTTTGCTTTATAGGGTGATTAAAGTAACAGCCTGCCTGGTGATGCATTGTCCTTTTGAGGTTAGTATCATGGCTATTGGGGTCAGTTTTCCTGGTATAACCTTTTATTTCTCAAAGGGTTGTAGGACTAAATCTTTTGGCTTTCTTTAGTTGTTTTTACAGATTACTCATAGTAATGGATTAGATCTCAATGTGAATTAGAAGGGTCCAGGTAGGGATGAACATTTTAAAATAATAACTTTTTGAGAAAGAGAAATCTCTTTTATTTAAAAAAAAATTTTCATAAGGAAAGAACCAGTAACATCCTTATACAGTAAAACCTGTGAGAGCTCAAACTTGACAAGACTGCCTTATTTTTCTGGGTCTCACAACTTTTCTTCCTCTGACAGGGTACATACATCTCACCACTTTTGTATCCTTTGTTTTAGTGGAAAATACTTGAGTTTTCCTTCTCTGACAGTTTTCTGCTTTACACAGGTTCTGAGTTTTGCAGACCTTACTGTATTTCTTGTATCAAGTACACATCCCATGAGAGTATGAGGCAGAGAATATCAGGAAGAATTCAAGAGCCAAAGGATAATTATGGCACACTTTCTTGGAGCATTAGTTTTCAAGATTTTATGGGAAAGCATTTTGTTACATGCCTATGCAAGCAAAATTAGTCAAAATTCTGCTTTTTCATGATGGTCAGATTGGTGTTGGAGAAGGGGGTTGGAATGATAGTTTTTTTATTTTCCATAAAAACTATGAGAGAAGAACATTTTTGTGTTCTGAAGTATATGGAAAAGTTGATACTTTCAGGTTATTGGGGAGCACAGTTGTGTGATCACAGTCACGGGGCGCAAGAAGAGCTTTCTACTGTGAAAACAGATTGTGTTAATGTCTCTGGCCTGCATGGCTGGTACTAGTCCACTATACCCAGTCAGATTGTGTGGTTTCCTGGCAGCCTTGATGACCGTATGTTTAGTTGTTTTATTTTGTTTATGAGAGTTTATATCCTTACAAAACAGTGATTTTTTTAAAAAAGTATTTTTAATATACATGAGATATCAATGTTTACTCACTGGAAAAGGAGAAATTCAAATCATATAGAAATATACACTTATTTATTCATATATTTATTCTACAAATATTTTTGAGTGCCTACTGTGTACTTAAAAAAAAAAAAACTGCCATTGAGTTGGATCCAACTCATAACAACCTCTCCTTGGGTTTCTGAGGCAATGTCACTACAGAAGTAGATTGCCCAACCTTCCTTCCGAGGAGTGGCTGGTGGGTTTGAACTGCCAGCCTCCTGGTTAGCAGTTAGGTACTATGCCAGCTGTGTGCTTAGGCACTGCTAGTACAATGGAGAGTAAGACAAACAAGGCCTCTGCCCTCGTGGCCCTTATATTTTACTGGAAGAAAATACAAACAGATACAGGGGAAAAAAATAAATGATCATAATTGTTAGGCAGAAAGCCAACAGTGTTATGATAAAATGTAATAGAAGGATGAGGAAAACCTACATACAATAAGGTAATAAAAAGAATGACTGCGCAGTTCATTTATTTAACAGATATTTTTTCAAGGCTGAATATTTAGAGTAATGTTTTTATTGACACATGATAAGATCATTACAATGAAATTAAAGCTTAAGAGTTGGGTGAGTAGAGTTGATTGTGGGGATTTGAACCATTTAATACTTAACACTGGACAGTAACAAGTTTTAGTAAAAATACGGAGAAATTGGAACCTTCATACCTTGCTGACAGCAATGTAAAATGGTGTACCCTCTTTGGAAACAATGTGGCAGTTCCTCAAAAGAATTAAACATAATGACTCCAAAAATTCTACTTCTCAGTATATACCCAAGAGAAGTCAAAAGGTCCACATAAAAACTTGTACACAAATGTTCATAGCAGCATTATTCTTAATAACCAAAATACAGAATCAACCCAGATGTCCATTACTTGATGAATGGGTAAACAAAATATAGTATATCCGTATAATGGAATATTTATTATTGAGCTATAAAGAAATCAAGTCCTAGTGCACGTTACATGATTGAACTGTGAAAACATTATGCTAAGTGAAAGAAACCAGACACAAAAGAGCACATATGATTCCGTTTATAGGAAAGGTTCCGAATAGGTAAATCTGTAGAGAAAGTAGATAGTGGTTGCCTGGAATGGAAGTAGGGTGAGTTGGAAGTGACTGCTAAGGGGTACAAGGTTTCTTTTTGGAGTGATAAAAATGTTGTAAAATTAGATAGTGGTGATGGTTGCACCACTTCGTAAATATACTAAAAACAACTGAATTGTACACTTTAAAAGGGTGAATTTTATGGTCTGTGAATTATAGCTCAATAAAAATAACTTAATGCTTTATATGTAATAAAAATTGCAGCATCAGTAAGAAAATTAAAAAGTCATCGTCAATTACATTTTTTTTGCTTGAAGAAGTTTCCTATTTTCTTGACTATTAAAAGGAGATACTTTTTAATGAGTTATATAGAAGTGACTTGATCCTTCAGAAAACAAGAAAATATGACTAAATTTTCCTTAATAGTTTTCTGAAAATGTTTCATGGAACTATCATATTTTTGGCAAATGCTAATATAACGCACATAGCACACGTAGGAAACTAATGTGCAAGGGGGTTGCCAAAAAAAAAACAACTTAGAACATGCATGTTATTTGCATAAAAATACAGTACCTCTAGGTTATTGGTGCCATTGAGTTGATTTTGACTCATAATGACCCCATTTGACAGAGAAGAACTACCTCATAGGGTTTTCTAGGCTGTCGTTTTTATAGGAGTGCAATGCCAGGTCTTTCACCCATGGAGCCACTGGGTGAGTTCGAACCAACCAGCCTTTTGGTTAGCAGCCTAGTGCTTCACCTTTTGTGTCCAGGCTCCTTAGCAAAAGCCCTTTGCCATCAAGTCTATTCCAACTCATAGTGACCCTACAGAACAGAGTAGAATTGTCCCATAGGGTTTCCTAGACTATAATTTTCACAGAAGTAGACTGCCACATCTTTCTCCCTTGGAGCAGCAGGTGGGTTTGAACCACCAGCCTTTTGGTTAGCAGCCAGGTGTTTAACCACTTTGCCACTAGGGCTCCATAGGGCTACTTAGAGTTCCTACAATACTGTAAAACAAAGAAAGAAGAAACTCTGGAATTGAATCTAATGGTTTATCAGTGGTGTTTTAGCTCAGATCAATTTTCTGAAATTGATAGGCTCAGTGCAGTAACCTCTCTTTCCTTAACCCATAAGGTAGGTAGGATATTTTTAGTTTTTTTCTCCTAACAATATTTAAACAAGTGCCATTAAAACTATATAAATTATAACAAAATGAAAAATTGACATAAATCTTAAAGATAGAAGTGAGACTTCAAGAACTGTTTTAAGTTGTCTACCTAAGGCTATGTTCTTATGTCCCCTGGAAATACATGTTTACTCCTGTATGATCTGGGATATTTTAGTAGACAAATTTGAGAAGCACTGAAACTTGAGAACAACATACTGAATATAGGTTGTTAGTATACCACCAGGAGACCAACCCAAGAGAGTACCATCACTGGGTTGGTTGATTCCACCATTCAATTTCCCATTGAAGTTAGTCTTCAAAAAATAAATATAACAAGGTTTCATGTTACACTTTTATTAATCAGTACCCTTTTAAATTTTTATAAATTATTTAAATTATTATTCTCAGCTGTGTATAGCCAAAACTAAGATATCAATACTTTGTTTAAAACCACTGTAGATGGTTTATTTATTTGTGTATTTCTCTGTACATAAATTATATTTCAATAAAATGTGTTTTTTTTTAATATAATTACTATCTGTAATATAACAAAATGTTGAAACTGAACTGCCTTAGAGATCATTTACTTCCATTATTCTATCCAAGAAACATTTGTAGAATTTATTTTACAGAAAAATGCTATGAGAGGTGCCAGGCTACCAAGATGAGTAGCTTGTGGCTACTCTCACCAAGGACCTTACAATCCAGTTAAGAAGGATGAGCAGAAAGCAAAACAAAAATATAAGAAGGGTCTATAATAGTATGATGTTGGTGTTAAGGGAACATACAGGGGAGAGTAACACTTTAGCTAATTTAATTTCAATAGTCAGGTTCCTCCTGCGCACTTAAGGGCTTACTTACAGGATAAAACAGCCCCTTCAAAAAAACCCACTGTAGATGGTTTAAGGTATTTTACAGTGTGTAGCCAAAACTACCTATTGAGGTGACGCATGCTGTTTACAGCTTTTACATTTTTGTGACTTCTTGTAAAAAGCTGTCACTAAGTACCTTATAAGGAGCTCTGGTAGCATAGTGGCTAAAGCACTTGATTGATAACCAGAAGGCTGGTGGTTCAAACCCACCAGCCACTCCTCGGAAGGAAGGTTGGGCAATCCCACTTCCGTAGTGATACTGCCTCGGAAACCCAAGGAGGGGTCGCTATGAGTCGGGGCCGACTCGACGGCACATAACAACAACAACAATAAGTACCTTATAAAGGTAGATCAGATTGTATGCTTTTATTGTTTCTCAAATGGCTTAAGCCCATCTTGCTTGCATTTCTTAGTCCTCTACTCTTCATAGTAGTAATTTGTGTGTTTTTCACTTCAACATAGAAAAAGGGGTAAAGACTTTGAGGAGTTAGACTGGCTTAGGTTCAAATCCTGGCTTTTACCTCTTTTGTCACTGTTATTTTGGGTAAGTCACTTAACCTCACATACTCATCTCTTTTAAAATCCTTATAATAATCTTGTAAATATTATCCCAGTTTTAAAAGGAAGACTGACTTTCAGTAAACTAATTTGCCCAGAGTGAAGCAGGGCATGAGCCAAACTTTTATTAGAAAAACCTTTCAATTATATCATTAAGGTAATAATGAGATAATAAGAGTATTCAGGCATAGAAAGTTAGAAAGTAGTATAGAGAATAAGGCCCTGATGCAGATTCTCTTGTCACCATTTGTAAGTTGTATATTCTTAGAAAAAATCTGTTAGTCCTTGTGACCCTTAGTTTCCTCATTTGAAAATTGAGAAGGATGATATTTCATAAAGTTGTGTTTTTTTCTAAGCCCTTCTTTTACTATCATTTGCCTGGAGACTATGATATAATGAGGGATTAACAGAAAGCAGAAATGAAAACAGTTATAGCTAGAGTAGTCGTTGGAAAGGAGAAATGTTTTCTGAATAGACTGTGAGCTCCATTAGGACAGGGACTGTTTATTTTTAATCCCTTTAGTTCCTAACAGATTATAGCTCCTAACATAGTCAAAAGAATGATGGTATAATATTGCATAATGGGGTTATATATTGTCTGCTATGCTTTACTTGCAGATAAACTTAAAGTCAATTTGGATTCAGAACAAGCAGTGAAAGAAGAAAAAATAGTGGAGCAACCTCCAGTGCCTGTCACTGAACCAAAACTGGCAGCTCCTACAGGCCTTAAAAAATCCAACAAAAAAGCAGAGCCTGTTAAGATGCAGCAGAAGGAAAAAAAAAGGTAGGAAAATTCTGCGGCTTGCGGGGGAAGAGTGTCTCTGCTAGGAGTGAGAAGGTTTGTCTGGACGTATTGACAGCAAGCAGTTTTTGGTTTGAGTACTACTAAATCCTACTTAATGCCTGAAAGATATAATTATACAACCAAAATGATGAGAGGAGCTCCATAGCCTATCTTGAAGTAGGACTATGGAATCAGTTTGGAACTTGGGGACCAAAGTCAGTTTGATTTTTTTTTTTTTTTAGTTTTTTTTTCCCACCCCGTCGATCTAAATTGTCTTTTCTTCCTTACTTCATTTTAAATTTGTGACATGGCATAAGTGGGCCTAATTATGTGTATGTGTCTATTTTTCACTTCAAATTGCCATGAGGGGTTACTGTTTCCAGTCAAATTTCAGAGAAAAAGTTGTTTGTTTTCTTTTTATATCAATGAGTTTATTTTTCAAGTGGTAAAATGTAATTAGAAAAGAAAATACAAAGTACACAAGCTGTTAAAAACAGATCCAGGAATTTGAGACACTACCTCATAGTTGGTAGGAATTAGTCTGTTGAAAGAAATTCTAAAGGACACTGTCAGCACTGATAGGAGCAGAAAGACTTAATCTTTGGGGCAGAGTTAAGGCTAATCTACAGAACACATCAACCAAATGCTGAAGTTCCAGATAGTTAGGGCACTGTCCAGTGGGCCTCACCGAGAAAGTTGTGCTGTGGATGGATGAGTGTTCCCAGCCACGGATATACCACTCATGCTGATGGTTGTTGCCAGCAGTGCATTTAGTGCTTCACTCTGAAGTACCATGTTAACTTTAGGTTTTTAACAAATACCTTTTAGCAGATTGAGAAAATTTGTTTCTATTTATAGTTTTTTATTTGAGAGTTTCTATCGTGAATGAGTGTTCAATTTTGACAAATGCTTTTTTTGCATCTGCTCAGATGATCATCAGGTGTTTCTGTTAATGCAGTGAATTATATTGATTCATTTTCAGTTATTAAACATGCATTCTTGGGATAAACCCCACTTGGTCATATTTTTTTTATATTACTGGATTTTATATGTTAATATTTTATTAAAGATTTTTTGCCTCTGTGCTTATAAGGGTTATTGGTCAATAATTTTCTGGTAGTGTCTTTGTTAGGTTTTAATAATCAAGGTTATGCTAGCCTCATAAAACTAGTTGAGAACAGTTGTAGCCTCTATTTTCTGAAAGAGTTTGTGTAAGAAATTGTTCTGGTAGCATAGTGCCTAAGGCACTTGACTGCTAACCAGAGGGCTGGCGGTTCAAACCCACCAGCCACTCCTCGGAAAGAAGGTTGGGCAATCTACTTCCATAGTGATACTGCCTCAGAAACCCAAGAAGGGGTTGCTATGAGACGGGGCTGACTCAACGGCACATAACAACAACAACAATACAACATGATAGGATTCACTCATGAATCTGGGCGTAGGATTTTCTTTATAGAAAACTTTTTTAATTGTGTGTTCAGTTTCTTTAATAAAGAGCTATTTAGATTTTCTACCTCTTCTTGAATCAGTTTTGCTATGTTGTGGGTTTTTTTGTTTTGTTTTGTTTTGTTTTTAATTGTGATTTGGGTGAAAATTTACAGAGCAAATTCACTTTCCATACAGCAGTTCACACACACATTGTCTCATGACATTGACTACAATTTACTCCAATGCAACAGCTCCCCTCCCACTTCCTCCCGATAGTTACCTCTTCCCTGTGTCCATCCCTCCATGTACTCCTGCCCCCTGAACTGTCTCCCTGTGCATAAACAGCCCTTCTTTCTCCCATGATTGTTCTCTCCAAGGAGTGTATCTACCTCAGGTACATGTTCAACTCATATGCCTGTCTTTTGTTTGGCTGGAAGCCACAGGTGTGGGTTCAATTCCAGACCTGAAGGGCAGCTAGGGGCCATAAGTCCCAGTGGTTCCACCAGGCTCTATCAGACCAACAAACCTGGTCTTTCTCCCCCCCCCCCCCAAAAAATGATTTTATGTTTTGTTCCACGTTGTTCTCCCACTCTATCCAGGATCTCTTACATAGATTCCCCCTCTGAGTGGTTGACAGTGGTAGCTGGGCACCATCTAGTTCTTCTGGTCTCATCATCATATAGGCTGAAGATTACATGGTGTACTAGTTTCTTGGACTTACTGTTTCCATGAATCTTTGGTTTTCTTCATTCTTATTTGCTCTGGACGAGGAGAGACCCATCATTGCATCTAGATAGCTGCTTGCAATCTTTTAAGATCCCAGTCACTACTCGCCAAAGTAGGATGTGGAACAGTGTTTTATGTAGTAAGTTATGCCAATTGAGCTTGATATCCACTGTGACTATGGTCCTGAGCCCACAGGTCCAACTACTTATTCCCTCTGCATAGCTGGCTGTGGCCAAGAAGTGACTACAACCTTGTCCCTTGTCAGCTCTACTATATACCTGCGAATTCTTATAGAACATAGCAATACACTTATAGAAACATTATCAGCCAACCCTATACATGGTCTTGGGTACACTGACCCCTACATAGACATTCCTAATAGTTCAGGCTGTCCACTCATCTATCCATCCGTATATCCATGTTTACCTTTACTGACAACACAGTAGTGTATGTGCAAAAGAGTTCATCTTTGTTGTCTGTACCTCCCATGTATCTCTCTTTGTCTTCTTCTTTCTCAGTACCACCATGTTGATCAACTAAGTTGTGTTTTTAAAGGAATTGGTCCATTTCATACAAATTGTCAAATTTATTAGCATATGTTTGTAATATAGCCTTATTCTTTGAATGATTGTGGGCTATGTAGTTATTGCTTCAGATTCTTTGATTCTTTTATTCCTGATGTTGGTAATTTGTATTTTCATTCTTTTTTTTTTTTTTTTTAAGTCAGTCTTATTTTAAAAACTTTCAGCTTTGTTAATTTTCTCTATTCTGTTTCATTGATTTCTGCTCTTTATTATTTCCTACTTTGCCTAGCTTAAGGTAGAAAAATTTTGGTGTTTGAAGTTACATAAGAAATAAAGTGCTTGAAGACAAAGACTGTGTTTTGTACAGATTTGTTTCTCTGATACTTGGTAGGTTCTTCATAAATTATTTGTTGATTGAATGAGTAGTGTGAAGAATTCAGAGAGACTAGCTAGATATATCAAGATGGAGTCTAGGCTTTTTATTGTTAATAGAATCCTCTTAAAATCTTACGAGTAGTTGGACCTGTGGGCTCAGGACCATAGTCACATGTCTGCCTTTGCTCGTATTGTTCTATCTCTTTCAAAATTTTCTCTCCTTTCTACCTAATAAACTCCTACTTAACTTTTAAAGTTTTCAAGTAACTATAATGTCTCAATGCATTTTATTTGTCCATTTAAGTTCCTCATACTGTAGTATACCCATTGTGGCGTATGAATACTTACATTTCTGTTCTATGTAAATGCTCAATTTATTCCTGGGTGGCAACAGGGGGAAGCGAATGGAGATACCTGATGATGAGACAAAAGAAACTGAAAACATGAAGAAAAAGAGGAGACGAATCAAGCCTCCTGAGTCTGATAGCAGTGAAGATGAAGGTGAGCATTGCTATTAAATTTTGGCTGTGGGATTAATTTCTTTGTATGATGCTCAAGGAACCAAAAAGTAATTTATTGTAGGTCACAGTGAGAGCAGTAATCAACCCTAGCATTGAGAGATGGCCTCTATTTCTGTTTGACCAGAACCATGATCTTTTGATAATTTGCCAAATTAACACAAAGACAAAGAGAAAAAGGATTCAGTATTATCTAAGACCTTTTCTTAGAAAGGGAACCCTGGTGGTAGAGTGGTTAAAGCACTCAGCTGCAAACCAAAAAGTTGACAGTTTGAACCCACCAGCTACTCCATGGGAGAAGGATGTGGCAGTCTGCTTCCGAAAGATTTATAGCCTTGGAAACCCTATAGAACTGTCGTTCCACTCTGTCCTATATAGTCACTATGAGCTGGAATCAATTCAAATCCTGTGGGTTTGGGTTTGGTTTTTCTTAAGAAAAAAATGGAGCTTTTTTTTTTTTTTTTTTGCTACTTTCATGTGGATTTTTTAAGAAGAGTAATATTGTAGGCATCAAGAGATCAAGAGTGTTGGTGGTATTCTGCATCACATAAGTAAAACCATGATAAAACTGGAAGAATCCATAGTGTCATTGCTGAAAGGAAATGACATTGTAGACCCTTCCACTTCTAGGCTGTGGGGACTGCTGTAAGATACCAAACAGAATAAGGGCAAGATCCGTGCCAGGAATATTAATGTGGTTTTTAAAAGAATATTAAGTACTGTATTCTAATAGCCAAGATCACTTCCCAAATTGTGCAAAGGAAATGTAGGTATAAATAGAGAAGGAAATGCTGAAGAGAAAGACACCTGGGTTAAACTAATATGCCAACCTGAAAAGCCTCTCTGAGAACTAGTGGTAAAAAGCTTGAACTGCTGTAATCAGTTCTCCATGAATTCATGACAGATGGGTGTAAAGAAATTTAAATTAGAGGGGGAAATCTAGTCTACAGGGATTCATTCAGCATCATGTAAAAGTATATTGACAAATGCAAACAAACTGATGCTGAGGGATTAAAAGAAATAATGGATGCAAATAAGGAGGCTGCTGTATGGTTGAAGGACAAACTGAACTGTTATAAGAAGAACTAAAAATGGGAGCAGAGGCTCCCAACAAAAAGGCATTAGCTCAACTGAACTAGTGAGTGAAAAAACAAATTGAAAGGAAGATTTGCAAGTGTATGGGTAAACTAAAACCATCAAGGTACAGTTAAGAGCTGAGGAAACAGAGGCAGCTCCATGCAGATACATGAGCAAATAATTGTTGTGGTTTGGTGCTGTTGAGTCAGTTTTGACTCATAGCCAGCCACCCTTTGTACAACAGAATGAAACACAGATTGGCCCTCATAATTGTTGCCATGTTTGATGAGCCTGTCATCGCAGCCATTATGTCAATCCATCTCATTGAGGGTCTTCCCCATTTTCACTGATGCTTTACTTTACCCAGCATGATATCCTTCTCTAGGAACTGGTACCTTGTAACTAAAATGTGAAAGATGAAGTCTGGCCATTCTTGCTTCTAAGGAGCATTCCAGCTGTACTTCTCTAAGACAGATCTGTTTGTTTTCTAGCAGCCCATGGTACATTCAGTATTCTTTGCCAACACCACAATTCAATTGTGTCGGTTCTACGGTCGTCTTTATTCATTGTCCATCTCTCACATACATTTGAGGCTACTGAAAATACCATGACTGGAGTCAGGCATACTTTAGCCTTCAAAGTAAAAATCTGTTCTCTTTAAACACCTTAAAGAGATCTTTTGTCGCCGATTTACCCAATGCAGTACAGTACATCATTTGATTTCTTGACTGCTGCTTCTATGGGTGTTGATTGCAGATCCAAGTAAAATGCAATCCTTAACAACTTCAGTCTTTTCTCCATCTGTCATGATTTGCTTATTGGTCCAGTTGTGAGGATTTTTTTTTTCTTTATGGTGAGGTGTAATCCATACTGGATTACAGTGATCTTTGATCTTTATCAGTAAGTGCTTCAAGTAAATTTAAGAATATGTGCTAATTGCAATGGTCTTTCATATATTAGTCAGGAAAAGAACTTGGGGAAAATTCTGGAAAGTCTTTGAAGCCATCAGTCTAATGCACATTAAAAAGGTAAACCAGATACTCGAGTATTAGTGAAGGAGGCAACTCTAAGTCAGAAGGAATTACTGTGGTTGATTGAGCCCTCATTACATACTCTGAAATAAATTCTCCTTAGTTCTGACCCTTAGCCCACAAAAAGGAATACCCATGGGTTATTTAATTTGGAAAGGAGTGAGAAGAAATGTGATGTTGTTGTTGTTGTTATGTGCCATCGAGTCAGCCCTGACTCATAGCGACCCCTCCTTGGGTTTCCGAGGCAGTATTACTACGGAAGTAGGATTGCCCAACCTTCCTTCCAAGGAGTGGCTGGTGGGTTTGAACCGCCAGCCTTCTGGTTAGCAGTCAAGTGCCTTAGCCACTATGCTACCAGAGCTCCCATGGGCAACTGTAATAACGGATGATATAGAGCAGAGGCTCTCAGATTTTTTTCTCTGGCAAATATAATTTCTGGCATCTGATTAAAATATATAAACTTGTGTCATTTTATTCCTAAATTTCTTCTTTGTCTCAAAGCCAGTGGAATTTATTTTAAATCCTCACCAGTCTTTAACCTATTATTTCTATATTTCAGTTACACTGAATACGTGTCTTAGTTTGATATACTCTTAAAAGTCTTTTTAAAATTTTTTTTAATTGTGGTAAATACATGTGTAACAACATTTGCCCCATTTGCCCTCAATTTCTGCATTTGCAATTTAGGAACACATACACACAATTTTTAAAATCAGATAAAATTCTTATTTTCTCAACTAGTAGTATTATCAGACTCACCTAATTGATCCTTCTCTTATCAACTTTCTCCCCTATGCCTTCTGTCTTCCACGATTTTGTTGAAATTTCTTATTTATTAGGGGCTCTCGTCTCCTCTTCTGTTCTCTTTTCTCTTACAGGGGTTTTACTGTTTTACGCCTTTTTTTATCATTATGCTTCTTTTGAGGGGGGCAGGGTATGGCAGGAAGAGAGTTGTATATGTCCAGTCTTCCTTGACCTGGAAGCCCTCATTCTAACTTTAGTTTGGAAAGTGATTGCTTTCCTTTATTTAAAAAAAAAAAAAAATGACTTATTGTCACAGTGTTTTTATTGCCAGGGAAATAATGATATCTCTGCCTCCATGAAGCTTAGAGCCTGGAGCTAGGTAAACAATTGCATATAGTGCAATGAGAGGGGTCTTAGAGGGTACCACTAGGATTAAGTGTTTTCCTTGGTTAAGTCAAATAGTTACAAAACTACAAATAAAATAAGAACTCTTGGATTTATTACTGTGAGTACTCAAAATTCCTTTTCTTTGGCTTCCTCGCTGCATAAACTTTCCTCCTGCTACTGCAACACGTCGACCCTTGTGGCACAGCTTTCTTAACAGGTATACCTTCTGAAAAATAGGTGCTGGGTTCTGTGGTTTGACATTTTCTCTTGCTTGAGCTCTCTTGTGTTCTAGCCTGCCAGAGTTAGGTTAATAACTGGACCACTTTTCTTTCATGTTTCTCTCATGGTTCCCAGAGCTTATAAAGTTTTGAGGCCCGTTTCATCCTTGAAGTGTATAATTGATTGTTTCATTTTGGCTCTTGTTCTGCTTCACCTCTTTAGGTCATTTGGCCTTGAACCCTCCACTGTCATAATTTTTAACACTGACCTACTCAGTTGGGAGAATTTAAGATCCAGGATTTGTGCTAAGAATTTGAATACAGCCAGGAGGTTCAAGGAACAGGTGAGGCTAAGCAGCTATTCAGTCCCCTGCCCAGCAGTTTTGTTGTGGTGATTAAATAATAGATCAGCTCAGGCTCTTCACTTCCCCTCTTACAGGCCTTATAGTGAGACCACTGTTTCTGAAACTATTCAAAATGTTGGGGATCCACCTGATGCTGCTCTCGTCTCAGGTGATAGTACTTACATAGCAATATTTCTTCTCCAAAAGTGTCCTTCTGCAAGTCTCAGTGTAGCAGAACAAGCCTTATCAGTGGGGCAATCAGCAGAAGTAGTTTCTATGTAAAATATTATGTCAGTCTTAGAGCTTTTTCTCTTTTTTTTAAGAGTTTGTTTTACATTTAACATTATGTGTGTACATTTAGTTTCACTCCCCATTTACCATGCACAACCCTAACCCAGTCTCCTCCCCTGTGCCCCTCATAGTTACGTACTCCTGTCTGTTCTGTATTACCTCCGTGTGAACGTTGCCCCTCTGGTGTCCCATGGTCTGTTGTTCCAAGGGATGCATTTCCATAGAGTATGTGGATGTGTCATCCTGGGTTGAGTGGTCTGCATGTACATCTTGTTGACTATTGGGCTGAGAGCCAGCCCCTGGGAGTGAGTTTTATTCCAGGCACAGAATATATTCCAGTGCCATAGTATAGGGGGTCTCACCAGACTCCATCCGACCAGTAATTCTGGTCATTATTGAGTTTTTGGATTTTGTAACATGTTTTCCCTCCCACTCTATCCAGGATCTCCCTCCAGATTTGATCCTTTCCTGAATGGTTGGCATTGGTAGCCAGGTACCATCTTGTTCTTCAGGTCTCAAGGGCCATCGTGTCTCAGGGTTGATTGCTTCCAAATGCCCTTTTTTTTTTTTTTTTCTGCACTACTCTTCACTTCTGACACTAGGGACCATTAGGTGCATTTTAGTCTTATAGCTTTAATTGTGATCACTTCAAAGGTGATTTTCTTTCCCTCAAAGCTTATTTTCTTAGTATTAGCTGGCAACTTTTAGTCTAACAATATCCCAGGTGATTGCAAATAGTCCTTAGATAACATTCACAAATGTACTAGCATAAAACATTTGGTATAATCTGTTGATTATCTCCACTTAGCTCATGTTGAGGAAAAAAGCCTAAAAAATTTACTGAATGGTAAGGCAATATGGTAGCATTAGAATAATAAGACTGGGGAATCAAACCAACTTGGGTTTAAAACCTCTTCTTATTTACAAGCTCTGTGACCTTAGCAAGTTAACTAACCTCTCTGAACCTCTATTTTCTCAGCTCTAATGTATAAATAATAATATCTGCCTCAGGGTTGTTGGGAGGATAAAATAACACAATGTAAGTAAAATACATGATACATGATAGGTGATCAGTAGATGTAGATAAAACAACTTCATACTGTGACTTACCAGTAAGATGAAGCTTTGCTAAGATGCTATCTAATGTACATTCTAACTCTAATTATTCTTGATTCTCTGATTTGTATAAAATTAATAAAATATGTATTTAAAAAATAACTATATAACTGCAAAATCCTTGATTGACGTGCATTACTACTTGCTAAATACCCTTTGCTGGACATGAAGTTTCAAATGCTAGTGGAGAAGGTATTGTACCAAATAGTGCATATAGTTCTCTTATCTAAGTTTGTTTCATTATTTCAGTCATACCAGACTCTCCTGGGATGTATGAAGCTGAGTCACCATCCCCACCTCCTCCTGCTTCTCCAACTCCTGAACCAGTGCCAAAGGCGGAGCCAGAGCCTCCTTCCACCAAGGTAAATTTGACCAGAATGGCTGAATTTCCATGTGTTCTAAAAGGATATAAAACTATTATACTGATTCACTTGACTTGTCTACTTCACAAATGCCAGTAGATGGCTCTTATGTCGTTCTGCCCTTCTATAGGTTGTTCAGAATGGGCATTCCCTCTCCTTTCACTTGAAGTGAGGTTCAGCTATAGGGCATAGTCTCAGGAAGATTGCAGGGGTGGATCCTGGAAGTTGTTTTGTTTTTCATGACCTCCAGCATCAGGGCTGCTGTGCTTCACAACCCCTGGTGGAATTGTGCAAAAAGAGGTCCTGCCTGTATCAGAGCAAAGAGTGAAAGATAAAGGAGAACAAACTTAACTCATACATTTGTTGCTTTTCAGAAACTCTTCTAAAAAGCTCTAGATGGAAAAGCTGGCGACAAATGGGGAACTGAGTTTCAATGACCCTCAGCTGCATCTTGTCCACATCTATTAATTGTAAGCAGTGAAGAGTTGAGAAAATGGATGCTGACAAGTTTTTCTTCTTAGTGACTATTTTCCTTAATTGAATTAAGGAAATGACAGTAAAGCTGTCATTTAAATCTTGCACTCATTTCCTCATTTGCTGAAGAAACGCTAGAGTGAAGTAATGCATGTCTGAAACAAAACCCCATTGCCATCAAGTCAGTTCTGGCCTATAGGGACCCTGTAGGACAGAGTAGAACTAGGGTTTCCAAGGCTGTAAATCTTCACGGAAGCAAACTGATGTAGCCTCCCACAGAGTGGCTAGTGGGTTCTAACCACTGACCTTTTGGTTAACAGCCACATGTTGAACCACTATATCATTCGGGCTCCTTGAAACTAAATTAGATGGGTATAATGTTGAAGTGTCAGGGCTGAATTATCAAATGTCTAAGGGAATGGGGATTTGCCTTAGAAAACACTGGTCTGGTTTCAGGGCTGTCCTGTGTGCTCCCATAATACTACTACAGTGCTTCATAAAAGCAGTTAGTACAGGGTATTGCAGTGGTCTGTTTTCCTTTGCTCTTTCCTCAGCTCAACTGTAAGGACTCTGTCCTGCTTGTCTTTTTTTAACTATGGTGCCTGAGCTACTCAGCAAAAGTTTGTTGATTGAGTGAACATAGTACTTTGCTCAACATGCTACTACCTTTCTTCTCCTAAACAATGAAATATTAATCCTGCACATATAGTGAGCATAACTAGTCTGCATGATAGGGCTGCTCCCCTAAATGGAAACGTATAGAGTTCCTTTTTCAACTTTTTACCAAAATGGAATATTGGAAGGTAATTGTTACAGATTTAAAGGTTTTGTTATTTTTTTTTCTGTGGCTTCATTGGTCACTTTAGTGTTTATCCTCTGATCTTTTAGGGCCCAAGTGGAGAAAACAAAAGAAAACGAAAGCGTGTACTGAAATCTAAAACTTACGTGGATGAGGAAGGCTGCATAGGTAAGAAAAACTTTTGGCTCCAAATCCAGAAGTAGAGTTATTATCATAGAGAGACACAATAATACTTTACAGAGCAGGGTGTCTCAGATTTAATGTGCATATGAATCACCCTCAAGCGATGCTACTTATCTGAGGCCCACACTTTGAGTAGAAGGATAAAGAGGATACTGCAGCTAACGTCAGAATACCCAGGATCGTATTTGAGCTGTACACTATAAAATTAAGCTTTGAGATCTTGATTAAAAGTCATGACTTCTGAGAGGAAAGTTTCTGATCTGTGGAATAAAGGTACAATATCCACGTTGCCTGTCCATGAGGGTGTAAAACTTTGAGTGATGTATCTAAAAACGCCTTCAAGATAGAAACCACAGTATGAATTTAAGTTATTGTTATCAGAGATGTTGAGAAGCATGTGTCTTTTGAGAATGGTGGTTTTATCAGTGGAAAAGAAGATTGTTCTGATAATTAGACCTCTGAAGAGAGAGTCTTTGTTATTTGGCCCCATTTTGCTCTTCAGAGGGGTCTTTCATGTTTCCTTTTTGTAACTGTGTTATGTAAAGCATATGCTTGTTATGGAGGCCTAGAGGAGAATTAGAATTCAGGCCATCAGTCATGCTTGGCTTATTCTTCAGTCATGTTTTACCCTCTCCACAATTGAGCCACACTGTTTTCTTCTGTGGGGCTTTTGGATCTAGCACTTGATGCTTGGTGGGATGCTGAGATCCTGCTACTGTATTTTTGTGTTTGGAAAGATTTGTGGATTTAGCCCTTAAACTTCTTGATAACTGGATAGCCCATATTGTCATTTCTCTTTTCCTTGTGTCACCTGCCATGGCTTGGCTTTCCAAGAGGCTTTTTCCTTTCTCTTGATTTTCATTTTGTAGCCCAAGTTTCTGATTTCAAGTGAAGAATCCATGTTTTCTAGTCAGAATGGTGGTTAACATTAATGAAGACATCCTATTGGTTTTATGCATCCTGTCCTGTAATTCCTCACCGTTCCCTCCCCTGAAAAGGCCTCTGCCATCTTCATAGTAGCATATTGGTGGCGCAGTGGTTAAAACACTTAGCTGCTAACTAGAAGGTCTGACCCACTGGCCACTCCATGGCAGAAATAATGAGGCAGTCTACATCCTTGGAAACTATGAGGCAGTCCTGCCTTGTCATATGGGGTCACTATGAATAAAAATCTACTCAATGGCAGTGGCTTTGGGTATTGGTTTTATTGAGGAATAGAGTTCCTTACATTTGGAAATTCTGTGTAAATTTCTTGTGCACTTTGGACTTGTGAGTAATCTTTTTTTTTTTTTTAAATGCCTTCAGTCTTCTTCCAGCGCTTGTCCAAAACTCTTGATTTGGCCATTGGTGGTAATATATTTATTTACTATTTCTCTGTTTGTTTGTTTGTTTTTAACTTAAGAAAAGCATAAGTGCTAATTTTTTCCTCCTCCTTATAAGGAAAAAGAAAAACATCAAATGTATCTTTGTGAAAATCCATTGGGAATTTGCAGCTAATTACTGCTTTATTCAAAACACAGTACTCAAGTTTTGGCCAGGTGTGGGATGTGGACTTTTTTGTACTTCTGTCTCCAGACAGGGCTATTAAGAGCCTTGGACGTAACAATGAAAACTGTGCTCACATAGCACTTTTTTTTTTCAAGTTTTTAGTCCAAGCGCAACCTAATGAATTTTGGCTCCAGTTACCAACAAAGGAGTTCTGCTTTCCTTTTTCTACTCAGCTTGTTCCAAATGTACCGGCAGAAGGAGCTTGCCCTTTCCTGTGTTGGATCAGAGTTGTTCTGTGGGTTTAAAAAGCTGAACTTTTCCCTATTGTGTGTTCACTGCAGGACAGGAGAGTTAGGCCTGTGAGAGATGTTTAGGATGGACTCCTGGACAAGAGAGTGAATTTCTAAGAGCAAGGCAGCTAAATGGAAAAGAAAGCTGACTACTCATACAAACCAGGCCTTTTTTTATGGCAGCCTAGAAAAGTGGCATGTTTTTCAGTTAAAATTAAAGAAAAAACAAAACCCACTACCGTTGAGTCATTCAGAAGTCTTGTATTTTAAGTTGACATCTCCTTTGTCTTGTAGTTTTAAGTAACTGTAGCTTTGAATATGGAAATGCTCTTTTTAGCTCTTAAAGCATGCCTGATACGCTGCTTAAGAAACTTGTAGGTGCCACTCTGACTGGTTTTTCACTCCCCCAAGCAATGCATTGTTTAAAATTGTTGATGAGGGAACCAGTGGCTTCATTAATAAGTAATGAAATAACAAGCTAATTGATGTTGGGGTGTAATTAATTTTTATACATGCTGCATGCTGCCATTTGAATACAGAATATAGTTTATGAAGGAGCAAGGTCTATTACCACCAACTACTAGTGAGTTACTTTTCTGTTACCTGTAAATGGCTCTTTGTTGTTGTTATGTGCCATCCAGTCGGACCCGACTCATCGCGACCCCCTCCTTGGGTTTCCGAGGCAGTATCACTACGGAAGTAGATTGCCCCATCTTCCTTCCGAGGAGTGGCTGGTGGGTTTGAACCGCCAGCCTTCTGGTTTGCAGTCAAGTGCCTTAGGCACTATGCTACCAGAGCGCCTAGAAATGGCTCTTTAGACTTCTCTAATTGAAGATATTGAATAAGTAACAGCTCATAATTTTAACTTAGCAATTCAGTTACATAATGCTTTTGAAGATGTATATAAAATTGGGCTGGTATTCTGGAATCGTAATTGCTGAGAACAAATAGCTCTACCATGGAAATTCCCCAAATAGCATTGTTTAGTACATGCATTACTTGAAGATCTTGTTAAAACTAAAATTCTGGTTCAGTAGCCTGGTATTGGACCTGAGATAATGCATTTCTAATACACTTAGTAGAGATTCTTATGCCTCTGGCCTCTGGAGCAGTTTGAATAGTAAGACCTTAGAGTATACTTAATATATATTTAAAGCTTATTTATGTCTTTTAGCCTCTGAGTTGGCAGGAGTTAGCAAAGTGAATTCTAGGCTCTTGAAAGTAATGGCAAATTCTAGGAATTCTTGGAGCCGAAAAACCCACTGCCATTGAATTCATTCCAACTCAACAACAGAGTAAGATATAAGACAGAGTAGAACTGCCCTACAGTATTTCCAAGGCTGTAAATCTGTCTAGAAGCAGACTGCCTCAACTTTCTCCTGCAGGACAGCTGATGGGTTCAAACCACTGACCTTTTGGTTAGCAGCCGAATGCCTTAACCACTGTGCCACCAGTTGTTGTTGTTGTTGTTGTTGTTGTTACGTGCCATCGAGTCGGAACCAACTCATAGCGACCCCTCCTTGGATTTCTGAGGCAGTATCACTACGGAAGTAGATTGCCCCATCTTCCTTCCGAGGAGTGGCTGGTGGGTTTGAACCGCCAGCCTTCTGGTTAGCAGGCAAGTGCCTTAGGCACTATGCCACCAGAGCTCCTGATAACTCTTGGAAAGAGGGCTGTTAATTATGCAACCTTAATGGGATTGGACAAATAAGAGTAAGGAATGATTGAATGGCAATAGCCAGTTGACCTCCAGCACTGTCCATGGGGAGGGGAAAATAACACTTGAGTAGGGCTTACCAAACACTGGTAGGCTCACCTATACATTCTATGAGACAGTGTTATCTTCATTTCATAGGAGAGGGAAGAACAGTGATTTTCAATGTGATCTTCATATTAGCAGCATCACCATTACCTGAAAAGGAAATTCTCAGGTCCCACCCTAGACTTCTTGAATCAGAAACTCTGGGGTGGGGCCCAGCAATCTGTTTTAACAAGCCCTGCAAGGATTCTGATGCATATTTAAGTTTGAGATTATAAAAGTGGCAGACAAGGTATTAGAACACAGGTTTGATTCCAAACCTATGCCTCTAGAACAATTTGACAAATATACTTAATTAAAAGAAATTGTTGATAATTAAGAGCTTAAAACTATCTCTGTTCTTTAATGGGGAAAATACCCTTCACTTTAATCATTTGGCATTTGTTAAGCAAATTAGGCTGCTCTGTTCAGCTAAGAAAAGTTCATTGTTTCTCCGCTATTGACTCTGACCACGAAGGCTGAGAAAGACTAGATGACATTGGTTATACAGCTGCTGCAGCTCTCTAAAGTCACAGGAAGGTGGCATTGTACTGTTTCTTGTGGTTGTTACATGTATTGTAATTCTGTAACATTGTTGTTGCAAACTATTATCTGTAGCTCTGCCTTTGGGACTTCCTTGTAATGACTGCTCACTGGAAGAGTTCTTTTCAAAGTTTCTATTGGGGACGGTTCAGTTGGTTTTATTGGCAGAGAAAAGGCAAAATATGTTTTTGGCTGGTGGAGAGTAAGAGAACTGGTAACTTTATTTCTCATTTTACCATTGTCCTTCCTTGAAATTATGACGTTTCTTTACCATCTGATAGAGCTTGCTTGGGACTGTTGTCTTTATGATGTAGACCACTGCCAAATCTTGGGTTAATGAGCAGTCATTCAGAACGGTTGAGAACTGATCTCCAGTTCTCTTAGGATGTTCAGAGAGTGGGTGACATTAGGATAGAGCTAGTCAGAAGGGTTCAAAGTAGACAGGACAGGGGCTGACAAGTAGGCCAAACTTGCACTGTGGTTCCAGGGAGATCAAACTGAAAAAATTGATCAAAGCATGGCAGTATAAACATACAGACAGTTTAGATGTAGACTTGAGGAAGTTAGGTGTCATAGACCAAGACCCGAGTAAAAGATTTAGGCAATTAAATGATAAGCATGTACCATAAACAGTGAGGGAGTAAGGGTGAATGTTAGTTCTGAGCGTCAGCTAGAGGCTGTGAACCCAGAATTCCATCTGTGCTTCCTACTCGAGACTAGAGCTGCTTCCCGCTGGATAGAGCTTCGGCAGTAGGTGAGCACACTTGCCTCAAGCAGAGGGTCTGAGCAAGACCTCTCATTTCCCTTGATAGAGCAGTGTTCTATGTGACTCCACCCATTCATGTCTCTTTTTCTCCTTGTTCCACCAGTGACTGAGAAAGTCTATGAGAGTGAATCCTGCACAGATAGTGAAGAGGAGTTTAAGGCGAAGACATCCTCTGTGCACAGACCACCTGCCATGACTGTGAAAAAAGAACCTAAAGAAGAACGAAAGGGTCCCAAGAAAGGGACTGCTGCTGTGGGCAAAGCCAACAGACAAGTGTCCATTACTGGCTTCTTCCAGAGGAAATAACTGTCATATCCATTAGGTCAGAGACTTGGAATGATCAAGGGAGAAGACCAAGAGATAGAGACTTTCTCACTTACTGTGTAAGTTCATCTAGCACCTCGCCTCACCTTTATCAAAAGATTCTTCTATCCATGTGAGGTTTATTCTGTTTCTGGTTTTTAACCAAAAGGAAATCACCTGGAAACAAGAGACTAAAGCTGTTCTCTTCTGATGACACTTTTAAAGCACAATCTGACCTGTCCAGGAGAAGTCACTCCAGAAATAAATTGGAACAGGTTTCAGAATTATCACTGAAGCCATTTAATGGTTAATTTACTGTGGCCAACCCACCCTATGCCCTGATTCACTTATGACTCAGGAAATATTCCTTATTCCTTTGTATTCTGTGAACTTGTATTGGTAGTTTTTTGCTGGCTATGTTTGCCACTCCCCCTATAACCCTTTACTACTACCACACTTTCTGTCCCCATGAAGTAGTTTTCTTTAAGTCTTCTAAGTCTTGGTTAGACTAAAGACTAAAACAAAAATCTCCCTGTAGTTCTGTTTTCCTCCAATATAAAGTACACTGACACCTGGCCTCACACCAGCACATTACTTGGGCTCTACCTCTTTCACAAAAGCTCTCTAGACCTTCCCTCGCAATTAGTGGTTAGAGAAAAGCCTCAGGCAGAGTACAAATAGAAATTTAATGATGTGTTCAACTCCACAAGAAGTTAATACCTAGAGTTCGCATTGACGGTATTAGAGGAGTTGTCATGTTGCTGACAACAGTATGTGCTTTATACTGCCCGTTGTGGTTTTTTGCTCTCCTCCCTTCAATACCTAGAGAGTGAAACCCATCCAGAGAAATGAAGGCTAAAAAGAGATATCCCTTCATACATACAGAGTACGACAGTTACATAAAATTTTTCCTCAAGAAAATTAAACATTCAGAAGCACCAAGTTCTCCAAGTAGTTTGTGAGGAAGAAGTAAGGGACATGTGTCTGTATAGATGTTGCTCCCCTGTATTTTTAACTCCCCCATTTGCCTAAAAGTATAGGCTCCCCAAGAAGGAGATGGAAGGACAGATGTTGGTAGGTCTAAACAGCAAATAAACGTTTTCATTTGTTACTTAGGGAAGATCAACTATTTCTAATGATAGCTTCTCAGTGACTCCATTATGCCTGGTGAGCTCAGTGGGTGGAGGTGGTGTGGCAGTGACCTTGCGCAGTGAGCTCTGGTGAAAGGAGCTCTGCCCGACTGCTGATATGACTCAGAAGGATCAGACGAAGGATGTCTGACTTGCTCCCTCTGTCTTAGCCTGATGTATGTAGAAAGTGATGCAGTCAGCTGTCTGTTGTTTAAGGTTAGGATTATGAATGACCTTGGGGTTAATATGAGCTGCTTTAGCAACTGTCACCCAGAACTTTCCAGCCAGGCACCTCTGTAGGCAGATTAAGATCAGAGGTTTGGGAGAGGAATCTTGGCATCATGTTCTAGGACTTGAGAAAGCTGAGGCTTTGCGTAGCAAGCTGAGTAAAGGTCAACACCGTCTAAAACACTTTCTTTTACAAAATGAAAAAGAATGAGGAGAAAGATGGAAAACCTGGACTTAAATGTTGACAAAGAACTTCTGGAGGCATCCCTTTAAATGCGTGTGTGTGTGTGTCGTTGCCTCTCTCCATTTTTCTAAGTAAGGATGGAAAATTAAAGTAAAACCAGTCTTTTTCTTTTTTGATGCTGGGGTCACTAATAAAACCGACTTTGAATTGGGTAAATCTGGTGCTGGTGGGGCCTCCGTCTTTCCGAGATAACACGAATCCTGTGCTAAGCCCAGTATACTATGCTGCCCAAAGTCAGCTATCTGCAGGGCTTAGGGAGTATTGAGTAGTGGCTTCTTTTTCTTTTTATACAATACTCTGCCATGTTATCCACATGAGTTAAATAAATTTGAGACGTTGTTTTAAAACAGTGCTTCAAACTGAATGTCTGATGGGTCTGTTATTTGACAGGATGGCAGCAGTATATGCAATTATTTAGACTCCCAACAGGAACAAGGCTGGTTTTCAGTTTATATTGTAAAAACTGCATACCCATAGTCTGAGAGGGACAAGCTATTTGCTGCCTTCATCATTTTTTCAGCCCTGTGGGAAATCTTAGTTTCAGCCAGCCTCTTTTTTTAGTTCATTTAGAAGAAAATCTAGTCCTGATCTTGCACATTATATTATTTTGGCTTCATCACCTGCTGGCTGTGTGACTATGGGCAAGTTCCTGAGCCTCAGCTTCTTTATCAAAATAGAGCTAAAATGAGTTACCATGGGTTGTCAAGACTGAGGTTGTATAGCATAAATTTGGTACACAGTGCCTGGCACATAGTGTTCTACAAATAGTGGCTTCCTTCCTGATGTCATAAATGATACAATCAGTTACTTCCTGAAGTCAGTCCTCCCAATATATAGGACCCAGATGTACTACTCATTCAAAGCCATCACTCTGGCTTCTTGTGTGTACTGTGTGTCAGCCCTCTGACCAGAACACTAGAGAATACAGAGTCAAATAGAATTTGGCACTTGTCTTCAAGTATCTAGTGGAAGAGACAGACCAGTAAAATGAAATCACAATTGACAGCTATGCACATGGTCCCCTGAGAGTTCATAGGAGGGTGGGTGTCACAGAAGTCTTCCTGGAGGAGAGGAAGCTAAGCAATTTCTTGAAGGATGAGTAGAATTTTTCCAAGCAAAGAATGATGGAAGGATTTTGCAGCCAGGAGAGCATAGCTTTCTTGAGGAAATGGACTCTTAGAATTTAAGAACAGGGAGGACAGTGTACTGAGAAATCAAATTGGGGTTCTGCTAAGCAATTTGGATTGCATTTGAAGACAGTAGCAATTTCTTGAATTTTAAGAAGTAGTGTTAGAAGTTGATTCTCAGTTGAGAGTGGCAGCTGGCATTTTCTTTGGTTTTGTTTGCCATGATAGTATTTCTACATATGCATGCACATTGTATCTTAGGATCTAATAGATAAAAATAATTAATAGAAGCCTGCTTAGCTTTGACAGCCAGCATGAACAGTTGCCGTATTTCCTTAGCCTTCCTTCATCAACAGAGATTTCTGTAACAGAATCCATTTTTAAAAAGTGATTCAAAAGCTGGTAGTTCTGATCTCAATGATAGGAGCCTCCACTTACCTCCCTGAAAAAAACTGAGGGAAGGGAGAAGGCGAGTGAGTAGAATAGTTTTATTCCTTTTCTATCTTTGTTTCTCTAAGAAGACATTCGTTATTATACAGGAGAGAGCTAAAGAGAAGGGCCATATAAGGAAACTAAATAGTTTCTCCAGGACATGAGTAGAAGGAGTGCATAATAATGTACTGTGTGTCAAGACTCGTTTGGGTAAACTTGTCTCCTTTCATTGGTTATGGGATCTCAGCATGCTGTAATGCATCTTTTTACTACCATGAAACATTCTAGGGCTGCCTCGTTTTGTTGTGAGAAGGCAGTATTGCTTTCTGAGTTATTGCCCTGGCGGCTCTGTAAATTAGCCCATGCTGTCACCATGCCCTCTCTGAAGGGCACATTGTACCCAAATGTCTGCATTTAGGATTGACTCTTGCCACTCCCTGCTGCATGACACTTCACTCCACTTGTATCTGTGTCCAGGTTCTTGTGTTCTTAAGTGTGGGCCACCCACAGATTGCCACCCAGGCTCCTTAGCCAAAGAAGCTTGGGAAGGCTTCCCTCCAATACTTTTTCTGTCTGGTAAACCCACCTTGACTTTAGAATTTGCCTTCTATTTGAAACCCTAAATATTGTCTGACTCCTCCACACTTTCCTCTCCCTCCTTTTTTTTTCTCATTTGCTCTTTCCAGACTCTGTTTCTTTAGGCTTCACCTAAGCTTTACAGCTACCCCCCCTTTTCTTTTTGAGTACTCAAAAGTTCTTCATAGCTAGTCCTTATTTAACTTGTTTTTAGTCTTTCAGACTTTCTTTCCCAGGCTTCTTATTCCATATGACATGTCTTTTACTGGACTGTTCTTAAAGAATGGAAAAACACTTTGTTTAATATCTGCTTTGAATCTTTCAAAGCCAAAGCACCAAAAGTTGTTGAATGCTAGTTATATTTAGTCCTGGGCAAGATACTAAAGGATTGCAAGAACTCAGAAGATACCATTATGGAGTGATAGGACATAGACAGTAAATAACATTAAAGAACAGTTGAGAAAATACTTAGATAAGTATAGACAACAAGGGGCAAGGGGCTTAACACTTCAAAAAAAAAAAAGCAATCAAACCAGTTGCTATCTAGTCAGTTCCAACTCATGGTGACACCGTGTATGTCAAGGGTACAGCTGTACTCCACAGGGTTTTCAGTGGCTGACATTTTAGGACATGTCCAGGCCTTTCTTTCAAGGCTCTTCTGGGTAGACTCCACCCGTCAAGATTCATTAACCATTTGCACCACTCAGGGGCTCCTACTTAAAAAAAGAACTGAGGTAACCATAATGGGCACAATTTCACAGTCATATACAAAAAACAACAGAGGATTTAAGAAACAGGCTGAGGAAGGGTCATCATTTTATGAGTTGCAGCTGTTCAAACCCCACTCACCATTTACACATTCATGATGTAGCTAAACCATTATTAGAATCCTTAATGGAGTTACTTCTATCCTAACTCTAAGAATGAGACTAATGGTGAAACAAGCAGGTACCAGGGATCATAGCTGCTCCTTGAACAACACAGGAATTCGGGGCACCCCATCCCCTGCACAAAATCCACATAGAACTTTTGACTATGCAAAATCTTAACTACTGTTGACTGGAGGCCTTACTAATAGTCAATTAACTGTATGGCATGATGCTTTACTATTCATTAAGTAGAAGTGAATCATCGTGAAGGTCATCCTAGTCTTCATGGTGAGTAGGCTGAGGAGGAAGAGGAGGGGATGGTTGTGCTCTATAAGGGGTGGCAGAGATGAAGAAGGTGGAAGGAGAGGCAGGCACACATGTAACTTGAAGGAAATAG